CCCCCCCCCAATTTCCCACCTTTTGTCTGTTGCGTTCTGTCTTAGATTGTGAGCAATTTGGGACACGAGCTATTGCTTCATGTGTATGGATAATGCCCAGCATGTGGTGGAGCTACCAAAAAGGAAACAGCTGAAAACCAGCTGGTGCACATATACCTGTGTAGAGAGCAGTGTGCATACAGACCTGTGTGTCTTGCTCAGGGTGAAGCAAGTCTGGGCTCTCGTGAAGGTGCCAGGCAGGTTAATGTAGACTGGAGCTAAGGCAGCAATATGCCAGATGGCTCTTAGCATTCAGGCAGGTGGGGCCTGAGTTAGCACAGAAATAATAAAGAAATAATTTGAAATATTCTTCCTCTAACAGATCTCACAAGTTTGTCAACTCTGCCAGCAGTCCCCAAGGCTGTTTTCCAATCATGCTGCTCAGCTACACACGCTGCTAGTAAGTATGGACTAGTACTAGTGAACTCTGGCTTTTGCATGCCACCAAAGTGTCACCTTAATTGTTTTAGATGATTGCTAGGAGTGTAACAAAGCACATCTCAGCCAGTAGTTTAGACTTCCACTGACCAGTAAAATCTCATGTAATAATCTTGTAAAACACTTAAATTACGGCTACCTACCTTTTATGCTAACCTACGGTAACTTCACAGAATGAGAGGGACGTATTTAAACTCTTTCTTAAATGTAGCAGGTGTGTGTGTGGTAGCACTTAACATGAGAAACAAACATGCAGAAAATAAACTGTGCTTTAGGCAGTGCACGTTGGAAACAGACTAACAAGCGCTAGATTGATTTTTTGTGGGTAGCTTTGGTATTAATAATGCTCAGTGGAAGTGTTTAAGGAAGAATGAACTTTACAATAATGTAATGGCGCAAAGCTGGTATTGCTGCCCTTTGTCAAGTGCACCAAACAAAATTAAAAGTCAATTTTGTCCTGGTAGATGCTCAGTTACTTTCCTGCTACTGCTCTCTAATTCCAGGAGATTGTTTGTGGACAGCTTTCCTTGTAGGGCTCCAATTTTGCTAGTTACTAGGAAGCTTAATTCACAAGGTGTTCTCCCTTTTCAGGGACTCTATTGTATTTCTGTTAATTGCATGGACAATGCAGAAGCACAGTTCACCACAGCGCTGAGGGTAAGATGTATTTTTAAGATTACTTGCTATAGCACTGCTGAATCTTTACGAGCAAAGAGGTAGTGTAAGAGTGATGTCATAGCCATGATGACCTGAGGGAAGTGCCTTGCATTTGAAAGCTTATCTTACTCTATCCCAACTACATAGTTGGTCCAATACAAGATACCACCCTAAAAAATCCCTGCTGGTTTGCATAAGAGGGAAGAGGTGGACTTGCTTTCAGTTTCACTGTGGTCTGTCCTCCATTAACCTTTTTACAGCAGGTCATAGAAGTTCCTTTCTCTCTCCTTGGGCTATTCCTCGTGAGATATAGGCAAAGACTTGGGGGGACAGATATGTGCAGAACCAGAGTGCTTTATTAACTTTAATCAGCCACCTATCCTTACTAGAATGGGTTGTTGTGTACCATTTGAGGCAAGGTTAGTGGAACCAGTGCTCAAAGGGCAGTCAGGGTTCATGCCCATCTATGCTGAGAATATTTTGGTATGAAGAGAGACTTAAATAGCAAAAAATAAATTGCAAAAGTTGGTGAAATTTGGCATAATTATAAAGAAAGCAAAAGTCTCAAGTTGGGAATGTGTGTAACTGCCATGCTTATGTATAGCTTGCTGTAAAGGTTTGCATCTTTTACAGATTTGTAGAGGGCAACATTTATTGAGTTTGTTAAAAGCCTGCAGATGAATGCAGTGTAGAACATCTAGTTGACTTGTATTGTCTGAGCTGAGCTATTCCTTTATTTGTGACTGTAGACATGTTAGTTGCAAACTGCTGTAAACGTGTTACTTGCGAACTGCTTCGAGTGGCATCAGTTACTCATTTTGGTGTGTTGCTGTTATAAAGAAATGCAGAGTGAACCAGTTCAGTGTTGTAGGCTGGGATATTTTTATCTCATCATGGTTATACTGTGGTCTTCTGTTTTAGCTCACCACGCATCAGGAATTGTGGGCATTTATTGTGACAAACCTGGCCAGCGTGTACATCAGGGAAGGCAACAGGCATCAAGAGGTATGTGACTTAGTTCTGAGCCTGTGAGAGCCCTGAGCATTTATAAGAAAGCTTTAGTGCAGCACTTTTTATAGAAAAACAACTGGGAAAGAATAATCAGAGGGGAAATTTCCTACTTGGTCAGTTTGGTGCCACTTAATATTACTTAGAAGCTGAGGGGTGAGTTGGCTCAGTGTAGATCACTAAAGCAAATGGGAGTATTCTGGATGCCACAGCGAGGTATGATCTCACTGTCTGAGAACGCCAGCGGGAGCCAAAAATGTCCATATACTAATCCCAAGTCTTTCATCGGTTCCACCTGTGATCGGGAACCAGATATTCCTTCTGTCCATTTCAGATTCCATCTGTACCTAAGAGTGATTTCTAGACTGCTTGGACTTGATGAGATGCAATTAAATGTTTGTTCAGGGAACCAATTAATCATCCTCCTAAAGTAGCTTTTATTAAGTACATAACAGTGTGTAGCAGCATTTCTGCCTTCATTTTTTCCATGAGGCACTTGATGTATCTTGGTCTTTGTAGTTACATTTTAGAAACAAATACTTGCAAGTGTTAAGTGTCTAGTAAGCAAATTGTAAATGGTCTGTTTCAATAGGCAAAAAACCATGAAGCACACTGAATAAATAAAAAGTTGTGGGGAGTGAAAATACTAGTCAATGTCAATAGTTTTGGTTAGTTTATGGTTTTTCTTAACTAGTAAGGTTGGTCACCTTTAGGTTGTAAAGGGGACAACATTGTAGAAGTGAAGGCTTTGAGGTTCCAGATAATATTTGCTAGGTCCAAGAAAAGTAAGTTTTGTTTTTTGTTTTTGTTTTTAAATTTGATTCTGGAGCCAGAATTGATCCCTTGGTGTTGTCATTATTTTGAAAATTCCATCTTGTGATCTAGCCAGTCGCAGCAAACTTCTGCAGTGTTTACATAACGTTGCGCTATTCTGTTTGACGTGGTGCTCCCATTATGCTGTTTGTTTCCGGTGCTGTAAGCTAATGTTTGCTAGAAACATTGATTTTTTTTTCCCTTTTTTTTTTTTTCTGAATTGTAGCTTTACAGCTTATTGGAAAGGATAAATCCAGACCACAACTTTCCTGTGAGGTAAGGATTCTGGATATCTCCTTGATGCTGATGACTTAGGAGGGTGGTGAAGCACTGGAACAGGTTACGCAGAGAGGTGGTAGAGTCTCTTTTCGTGGAGGTTTTTAAGGCCCAGTTCAACAAAGCCTTGGCTGGGATGATGTAGTTGGGGCTGGTCCTGCTGTGAGCAGGGGGTTGGACTAGATGCTGTGAGCAGGGGTTGGACCCTGAGGTCCCTTCAACCCTCATTTTCTATGATTCTGTGACTTCTGCCTCTTAGAATGTTGAGAAAAAGCATAGCATACAAAAGCAATTGGCTTATTGCAGGGAATAGTTTTGAATGCATCTTAAATATGATTTTTTTTTTCCAATCCTTGACACTGACAAATCTTGATTTTTGTCATTTGACTATGACATAATGAAAAATAAATGCCTAGAATGTACCTATATAATGTATCTTAATTGCTGTAAAAAGCCTGGATTTAAACATATTGCTTTGTCCCCAGCTCTCACTGTCTCCGAGCAGCAGCTTTCTATATCCGAGGGCTTTTCTCCTTCTTTCAAGGAAGGTACAACGAAGCGAAGTGAGTGTTAAGTCAAATAGGGATTTTTTTTAATGTAGAAGTTCAAAATTGATGCCTTTTTTCAGACCTGACAGAATTTTCCCTTGGATTTAATCTGGCTAGTTTCATAATTAAAGTTTTATCAAATGAGGCAGACTTTATAAATTGGCATGTTCCCAATTCTTTTCTGTTTACAGCTGTGAACTTCTGGTAATCACAATTCTAAACTCTTGTAAAGGACTTTTTTGTCAGGAGATAAACACTTTACAGAGGAAATCAAAGTTTTCCCCATTATACAAATGAAAAAAACTAAGGCCAATGGTGAAGTGACTTGCCAAAGGTCACCCAGCAATCTCATGATAAAACTGGGAGCAGAGCCAAGATATCCTTGTTCCCTATTTGCCTCATGACCTACACACCCTACACACTTGTTTTTTCTGTATTGATGTCAACTTGTTGCATGCTGCAAAGAATTCACTATTGTTGTGAATGGTTTCTCTCTGTTCTGTTTTGTAGACGATTTTTGCGAGAGACACTGAAAATGTCAAACGCAGAAGATTTGAACCGATTAACAGCCTGTTCTCTTGTACTCCTTGGTCACATATTTTACGTGCTGGGAAATCACCGGGTAAGCCTATACCGTCTTTGGTGTTCCTACTAGAGATGCTAGTTTCATTTGTCATTTACCAAAACACTGGCAGATTTGGGAAATTAATTTATATTAAGAGTTCTGCGTTTAGCATTATCCTGCCTAAAGCTGGCAGCGCATTGATTTATGAATTTTTCAAGGTGTCATTTGCATGTTTAATGATAGGTTGACAAAGCAGTGGCGTTTGTTACCCTATTTTAGAAGCTTGGGTTTCCATATTGTTTAAAATCACTTGAAAAGAAGATCTCAGTAAGCCAAGGCACTATAATTAAAGAGGATAATTTTGAAAGGGGTTCCAAATTCCCATCCTCATGGGAATTGTTTTGTTTTAAAATCCTTATGCAGTGGCAGAGTGGTACAAGAAGTATTTTTTTTTTCTGTTGTGCACAATATAAGCATTTGGTCACTGTCTTACTGCAGAAAGACACACCATGTTCCAGCTGGAAAGTAGCTGATTCAGTGGTCATTCAAGTTTTGAACTTGGCAAGAACCAAAAATGACTAATTTTTGTATTTTGGAACAGTCTTTATGAATAGGTCACCAAATTTAGTTACTGGTCTTAATTGGCCCCTCCTTTGGATCTAGTTCTTCTCTCCATTTGTCATCTTTCATTCATCTTTAGCTTTTTCAGGTGCTAAAGAGCAGTACACATTCACTTTGGTTTCCTAGCTACAGGTTCACAATCTGAGTCCATCTCAGTGGCAGTATAATACACTGCTTCCCATACAGTGTGTAGGCTACATATTGGTGCGTGCAGTCCTTTCTAAGTAAATCCTCCCATCTGGTGCTTGGATTTAGTTTGTTGTCACAAATTAGGAACAGATTAAATGAGTAAAATGAAGTTCTCAACAAGGATATTGCATGAGATGGGCTGTTCCAGTCCAGGCATGGCACCACTTGTCATGTCTGGTTGCATGGGTAAATATTGTGCTTAGTGGTTCATACTTAATGAATGAGAACAGCAGTAAGAGCGTGGATAGCTGGCATGTGAGGAGCATTCCAGGCTTGTAGTTAATAGCCCCATTGAAACTCATCTCACACATCAAGTTCTAGAACACTTGTGTGTCTTCACAAGAGAAAAAAATGTGGACGAACAGGAGTTTTGATCTTAATATTTGTTCTTCACCAGGAAAGCAATAACATGGTAGTCCCAGCCATGCAGCTTGCGAGCAAGATCCCAGACATGTCCGTGCAGCTGTGGTCTTCTGCTCTTCTGAGAGGTGAGCTGGCAAAGTGCCCATGTTGCATCAGCTGGAAATTGAGCAGCAACTGAATTCTTGGGAATCTTAAAGAAGGGATGGTGTTTTGGGGAGGAGACTTCTCAGTCCTAATGCTCTCAACAAGGAGGACAGAGTAAATGTCTTACATGGTCATCTAGTTTTCCATGAAAACTAGATATCTGGAAGACAACAAGCGGGAAGGATTTTTTTCTTGACCAGAAATGCTTACATTGGAACTGCACTGGAAATGGGTACTGAGGACAGAGCGTCTCTGCAGAAGGAGCAAATTTAATGGTCTGATGTTGGACAGAATCTTGTCCAGATTCTCAGAGTTGAGCACGTGTCCAACTTGACTGTCTTAAAGGAAATACAGAAAGTTCTGAGAACTGTGCTCTGAGAGAGAGGGCCCCATTTAAAAGGCATCCTGCTGGGCATACAGAATTGCTGGTTACTACTTAAAGCCTTGGTTGTCTGTGGCACTGACAGTGTGAGCAATGTAACAAATATTTTCTAGACTGGCGCACAGACTCTGAACTGTTTCTGCTGCCAGTCAGTTGGTCAGGCAGGTCTTACTTGCTTGGGAATAACACCTCCTTTCAGCCATTGTCAGAGTTTGTTTGTTTTTTAAAGGAGCAAGGTCAGCTTTGCAAGTTGATTGATGGTAGGAACAGTTAGGAGACAGTGCAAATGGTCTGAAAGAGTGGGTGGAAATATTTCTTCAGTACTTCCTTTTTGGCACTTTAGGAAAATACAGCAGCTCTGGTGGCAGGAGTGATGGTCACTAAACTAGAGACGGTTACTTTCAGAGTCAGATGAGAGTATAAGGTAAAGAGGTGAAAGTAAACTGGCAGGAAGAGAGAGAAAACATAGTCCACTGGCAGAATAGAAGCTATTCCTAGGTAATGGAGGTTGCCAAAGGCAGTTCCCAGAGCCCCTTGATCTTTGACTGGTTCCAGGTTTTTTGGATTCTGAGAACTTCCCTGCATGCTTTGTAGTTTCTCAAATCATGGGCAGTCAGTCGTGTTGCTGCTGCTGTCGTCTTGGGAGCGCTGTGTAAGAAGACTGTGGAGAACGCTGTGGATAGCATAGGAGCAACAATAATCTAACCCAACATGGTTGATCTGGTCCTTGGCTGAAAGGCAGGGGCTAGCCCTTTTGCTGGGCCAAGGGGACAATCTGCTTAAAAATCCTTCCTGTATGTAGCTGGTGTGCACACAGCATCCCTTTTTGTCAAGCAGTTGCTATGCTTTGTCCTGTCCTGTGTTCCTGATACTGCAAGCATTTGGTTAAGTTTCACTTAGTCGTTTCTGCCACTGTGAACGAGCTTTAATAAATAGTGAGGGGGGAGACTGTTGGACCACATCATACATAAATATTGCTTAATTTGACTTGCATAGGCCCCAGGATGCTTTGTTCAAATATTGACTAGCTTCTTGGCAGACAATCAGTGTTAATGCTACAATTGATTTCTTCTCACTGGAAAATAAAGCTGTAACTCTGCCCTTTCCCAAGAACCCTACCCTGCAGCTCCAATTTAATATAAATTGTCACGTTTACAGTGAGTGCTGTGTTACACATTAAACACGGCAGGTGAGAGAGGCTGGGCTTGCATTCTCCTGTTTTCCTGCTGCTTTGGTTACAGATTTCTTCCAGGCAGCTGAAATACTCCTGCATTTGTGTACAAATTGGAGTGTCGGTGTAAGGGGTGTCATTGGCCCTTGAGATGGACTTGATGTTTATCCACAGATGGGGCACAGCATGTTGGTAGCTTCTCCCTGCATCGTCCCATCTGTGGACCCAGACTTATTCTCTGTGGCTTGCTTAATGGCCAGGATTGGAAGTGGCTTCCTAGGTAAGGTGATCAGATCACATCAGGCAGGCGCATCCCATTGTGCTCGTGAATGTATACAGGGCTCCTTGAAACCGCTTAAACAGTTTGCATTCTGCCACTGCTGTTGGGATGCTGTCACCTGATCTCACTGTGCTGCTGGTTAGAAATCTCATTTCTGCCCTAAGCTTCATGTCCAGTTTGTTCATTCATGTGCCGTACTCTAATAACTCTGCTCCTCCCTCATGTTGGCCCCCTGTCCAATGTATGGAGAGCAGTTGTGTCCCACAATTTTGCTACGTAACAAAGTCAAGTGTTTTGGACTTCTCCTGTGAGAGAGGTTCTCTATTCTCTGGTCATCCTAGGAGCTCTTCTTTGCACCTGTTTCAGTTTGAATTAATCTTCCTTTCACATGGCTGACCAGACTTGTACCCAGTGTTCAGCTGAGGTGTTACCAGTGCCTTGTACAATTGCTTTAATTCCGTGTTCCTACAGGAGAAAACCCCTCATGATATGCCCTTGAGTTTTCATTTCCCTCATGATATGCCACAATATAGTAGTGGCTCATGATCTGCTAATAAGCCCAAGTCCCTCTGCCCTATTGTTCTCTGCTGAGCCCCTGTTTACAGCAGGAATTCTTGTTTCGTTAGTTGCCATGTACACGACCTATAAGTGTGCAGTTCTTCCCGATTGACATTGTGATCCTCCTCTGCATCGGGGATGCCTCGCAACTTTGTGTCAACAGAAGTTTCATCAAAACCCTATTTGTTTCTGTGCCACGGTCATGGAGTAGACTAGGTTCCAAGGCTGATCCTTCTAAGTTTCCTCCAGCCTGATAGAGCCCCCTTCAGCCTATGCTTTGTCTTTGCTGTTGCCAGTTCCTTGCACTGTTCCTGTGTCTCTCGTTCCCATCTTCTCTAGTTTAATTTCCTACTTGGCACTGGATCAGATGCTTTCGCCAAGTCTAGATAGATGAGATGTACTACATTTTCTTTGTCTAGAAAATCCACTATCATATCAAAGAGAGACAGTAGGTTAATCCCAAATGATCTATGCTCAGTAAGTCCATATTCCCTTTTGTCCCATTTTCCATTTATTTCCAGGTCCTTAGTTGCATTTTTTTCCCCTCCAAGATGTGTTCTCAGGCACTGCAGTTACTTCAGTGTGGAGGCTTGTCTGCTAGTATGTGAATGCTGACCCTGGTAATTTATCTCAAACAGAAGAAGTCAGCTGCTTGGCAGTAACATTTTTTTTTTTGTCACTAGTGACCCGGATTAAGTTTTTCCCCTTGTGTGTGGTTACAGATCTTTCATGATGTGCGTCTTTCAAGGAAAGAGCAGTCACCTTGAAACAGGTTAAAGCTCTTTGCTAATGGCTTGTACGGAGAGGCCCTTCCTGGGTTAGCGTGCTAGAATGTGAGAAATTGCACAGAAGTGAGGTGAACGCGATGGGAATGTACAGTTCTCCCAGGTTCTCTATCTTGGTGCACACATCCTTGGTAATTTTTCAGGCAGATTTAATTAAGGTGCTTGGCAAGCTTTATAGCTAGTAAAGTATATTTACTGCGGGAGGCTGCTGCTGCTACTCACTTAAGCAGAGATTTGGACATTGTTGTGCAGCCCACGCCTTTTCCTCCTCCCTCTACCCATCTCACACTGGTCTCTTCCTCTCTAAGTGTTTGTAGTGTTAGCAGGGTTTAGGGGGAGTATCTTCTTCACACTCAAACACCTTCCTATATGTCTGCTTCCACGATTCTCTTTGGAAAAATGTTTTTTCTCTTGCCTGTACAGCTTCAGTGAACTTCAGCTTTGTTTCAATTATGGAACACAGTTGAGAGAGAGAAAAAAGGTACCAGAGCTGTCATATGCTGAACTAGTATGGCTTGCTGTCTTGTCTATTAGATACCAGCAGCAGCAGTGCAGGCACCTGTGCTGAGTAAGTACCAATATCCATTTTGATTGGTACTTACTTAGGACTGGAAGAATTTTCTGCATCAGGTGAAGTACTCGATGTTGAAGATCTTTTTTTTTAAACCACAAGGAGGGCAGCACAGAGCATAGCATGGGCTGCGTTTGCTGTTTGGAGGTAGAAGGGAGATCTGGCAAGTTAGGCAGAAAGTGAGCTCTGATATTAGGAAAAGCAGAATGTGAAGTGGGCAATGCCAGGAGCAGGGTGTTTATGTGGCCATGACTGGTCCATTCAGCAGTGCCAAAAAGAGACTAGTGACAGATGTGAGGAAAGACCAGCAACTGGCAGGGGCTGGGTGCCTTGGCCTCTGGGTGCAAATAACCTTCCCCTGGTTTGGGGGCAGGGAGCTGCTGTGCTGCACCACACAGTGCTTGTCACTGCTTGAAGTCAAACCCACGTGGTGTTTGTTTGAATGTGTGAACTGAGACTGTCTGAAGGCCTTTGAATGATCAGGCATTCAGGGCAAGGCAATGGTGCCTGTTGTGAATTCAAACAGCACAGTTCTGGAGCCCCACAAAATTAGGATCTATACTGAGAACTCACAGCTTGCAAAACCAGCTCTGCTGCCAGAACCACGTTGTGGCTTGCAAATATAATGGAGACCTGCAGTTCTGCCCTCTCCCCACAAGATGGTGCCGTAAACCCACTAGACTAGACCCTCCTTCCCAAGCTGGAGGGATGCTTTCTGGTCTGCTGAGAAGTTTGCCCTGTGGCTCCCTGCGGAGCTATTGATCTATTGTCTGCACCACTGAAAGTAAAAAAATAATCAGCTTTGAGGTGCATGCAGCTGAAGACTTTGGGGAAGGGGAGAGAGGTCCATACAACAGGACCAGTTTTCTTTTTCTGTTTTTCTTCCTATTGTGCAGAGTCCTTAGCACAGAAGTCGGCGTGATGTGGCTACTGTAATAATCCTACTGCATGTGTTTTTAAACACAATTGGTTCTAAACGGTCTCAAATCTGTCTGCTCTGGGATGCATGGGCATGTTTTCCCTGGGGGACCACTGGAAAGGAGTACAGAGGGGAGGGTAGATGGCATCAGATGTAACATTAAGGAACACATCCAGGCCTTGGTCCAGTTCTGTCTAACGCCAGTCTTTCCATTAAGTAGCTGAAGTAAAAGCACTTGCAGTACATCTTATTGCCATAGACATTATCCCCAAATACATCAGAATGAGTCACTAACCAAGAGAGGGGGAGGGGGTTTTGTTACTGGCAGTCATTGACTTTGAGCTGGCCCTTGTATCCAGCTGCTCTTCTCAAGGACTGTAGCACCAGTATTAGACTGCTATTTAGAGACAGACTCTTTACAGGGAGCAGTCCCTTCATGCAAGTCTTTGGGTTGAGTGTTCCTCAGAGATGTGAACTGGGAAGCTGCTGGTAGAAACAGGATTGCACATGGGGCTGTATATGTGACCAAGGCGGCATAGAAATGAAGGTCTTGAATGAAGGGCTGTCTGGGTCAGTCAGCCATGTAAACTTGCTTGCCACAGTAAGTGATTATACCCATTAGGGAGGGTGGTATTTTCAGCCCTCAATTTTGTCAATTTGAAACCAGTGCATGGACTGTCGATAACAAGGGAACATATTCTCCCTCTCTTCCAGATCTGAACAAAGCCTGTGGAAACGCCATTGATGCTCACGAGGCAGCGCAGATGCATCAGAACTTTTCACAGCAGCTTCTTCAGGACCATATTGAAGCTTGCAGTCTTCCAGAACACAACCTAATCACGGTAGGCAGCCTTCCTTCTCCAGTCAGGTATCCTGAGTTAGAGCAGCATACAGTCTGGCTTCAATAGCTGGCTGGTTTTTGTTTTGGTTACAATTGCTTTCAACAGCAAGATGATGATTGAGGTCTGCCTCTGCTCTGTCGCTGAGGGGTGGGTATCCTGACTGCCTTGTACAAAACTATCATTTTCAGATGCACAGCTAGAAATACTGTTGTTTTTGACAATTCTGCTGCCCTTAGATTTTAATTGTCTGAACATATGTTTTTTTGGAGCCACAGTAGGTTTTAGTTTAATCTCAAATTTTGCCTCTGTACACACATTGCTGTAAGCTGTAGCTTTTTCACTTCTTCACGTTACTATCTTTCCACGGTGAGGTGCACTTCTAAAAACTAAATGCAGATTAGGCAGTGTAAAAGGTCTTTAAGTGGAAGCCAAAGAATAGAAGCACTTGCATGACAACCTAATTTTGAGTGTTTTATCACTCTCAAAATGTTCTGACGCCTTGAATTATCTTTGAGAGAGACAAAGTCTTTCAAAAATCTTACAGCTAATTCACCCCTGGGCCTTGTTGTGTTTCTTTGATTTTTTTTTTTTTCTTTTTGAAGGGGGGAGGAAAGGAGAGGAAAACCCGATGGTCGGAAGAAAAGTTTTCCTTGCTTTGTGTGCAGTCAGTCCCTTCAGAGATTTCCCAGGGGTGGGAATGTTTGAGATGCAACCTCTTGTTTATAAAGATGCCCACAGCAACTGTGTGATTCCCAGGTTCATGTGTATATAAATACAAGTCCAATCTTAGATGGCCCAGATTTCAGCAAGAGCGCTGTATCGATGTTCAAGCTTTTGATGTCTTTTACCTCCATTGCTGGATTACTTGTAATCCAGGCTAGGTGAATACATAGAATGGAAAAAGTTAAATACAAAATTATAAATTTGTGCATCTCAGCAGATCTTGAAAAAAGCAGAATTGAGGAAGGGATTAAGGTGAGCAAGAGGTGAAGGCCTTTCTTTGAGTTTTTTAATCTTGGTCATAACAGATGTTTAAAATTAAATTGGATCCAAGAAAGAAGGGCAGCAGTCTGTGTGAGAGACAGCGTTCTAGTAAGGGGGGAGTTCTTGAAGTAAGAAAACAAACCAGGCCTTGACCTACCTGATGTACAGCTCTTCTTGAACAGCTCATTTTTGTTACCACAACACAAAAAATGTTGCATGGCCAGCTCCTCACTTGTGACCTTGGCTGTGATTTGCCCCTGTTCTGGTCGAATATAGGATTTTCAAACTGTGTGTTGTCTTTCAGTGGACAGATGGACCCCCTCCTGTACAGTTCCAGGCTCAGAATGGACCCACCACCAGCCTGGCCAGTCTCCTGTGAGAGAAAAGCTACCAGGACAATGTATAACAGCAAACAAACAAAGCCAAAAAAGGAGAAAAGTTCATGCGGAAAAGTTTTCTGCAGAGAAAAGACGGCAAATTTCCATAGTGCAGGCCTTTGTAGAGAGGATGGCTTAAACCCAGCATGCATTTCATACTCGCAAGGTGAAAAGGGCATTTTAAGCTGCTTTTACCTAGTGTGGGAATATACAGCTAGCGTGTGTACATACATCCTGGTTTTAATCTGTTCTCCTTTTATTCAGAATTAAGGTTTAGACAGAGGGATACTTTTCTTATTGTTGGATCTTGTTTTAACAAAAATATATATTTTCACAAAAGATGAAGAGAGCTTGCTCAGATTATAAAGCTGATCACCTGCGAAACATTTAACTCTAGCTGAAATATGCTGCTTTTTGAATGTGCTTTCTATGCCCCCTCTGCTCCCAGGAGCAGGTGGAGTGACTTGTGACTGACCATAGGGTACAGCAAGCTTCAGACCTCAGTTCCTGTATCAAGTATTTGAGTGCTGGAAATGCAGTCCCATGATGAAGATGGTTAGATCAATTTGTTGACTCTTGCATGTTGATTTAGGGGTAGTCCTTCATGACTGCAGGAGACCCTCACCCAACCCTGTGCTGAGGGGTTTGGCTTGCACTGCCTTCTGAGGAGCAGGAAAATCCATTTTACCTCCTGGATGCAAAGGCCTCTTTGCATCACCGGTATGTGGGGTACCACACACCCTCCCAGCTTCTCTGGCAGTTTCCCACAAGGTAGGGCAGGACCATAACCCCACCTAAGTCCACTACCTTTGGGTGATGTGCACCGATGGAAGACTAGGGAGGGAAAAATTCCTTGGTTTCTGCTTGTCCCTCACAGGGGCTGCCCAAGTGGGAGAGGAAAGCACCTTCTGTCCTCCCCACTTCATCGCAAGAGTCAAGCAGAATCGGTCTCTCTCTCATTCTGCTGAAGAGAGAAGCAAAATATAACGTATATCTTGGAATAAATGCAGCCCCCAAATTCAGATACGCATATCTGCCTGGAGGAGAAGCTTAGAGCTGGCTAAAGCATTGGGGAAGCTTTGAATTTCCAAACAGTTTTCCATGTTAGGTGGCTTCTGGTTTTGCGTCCTTTTAGAAGCCTGTTTCTGCAAAGGTGTTCTTTCTTTCTCCAGATGTGCAATGCAGCTGTCTGTCTGAAGAAGAGGGGGAGAGAGCCCCAAATTGTGGCCTCTTCCATTCTGCAGAGCTTGAGAATGGTCAGGGTTGTAGATGGGAGATGGATCTGCGTGGGGATTGGTATGCAATGTGGTGGAAAGCTCACTAGCTCACAAGGCTCAAGAAATGGTTTTTCCTGCTGGCAGATCTGCAAATGTCATTGAAGAAAATGTCTGTCTGTCTTAGTGGGAATAACAGGGGTCTTCTAACCAGATGGGTACTGTGGGGTCTGTTAGGTGGGCTTTTAGGTGATGCTAATAATTTAGGGGCAGGGCTTTGGCCCTGAAATCTTAATGCTGTTTCATTTTGTAGGAATGTTTGAGCAGTCTGTCTCAGGGGGTGGTTCTCTTCAAAGACTAGCAAAATGTTATGCCGCTGCTTTGCTTTTTATAAGCAATATGACTACTGAGTGATGTGGAAAGGACAAAGGTCCTGCCCAGGTAATAGGCTGAGGTGTGTTCCCTCTGCTGGCCCAGCAGCAGCTGTGTAGAAACCCTGGTCTTGGAGCTGGAGTGATGTGACCCCAAGCAGGTTTCAGGCTCCATTTAGATCTACCTTAGGGAGCTCTGCTTTCTCCAAACTTGGTGGAGAAGAGACTTTAATTTCAGGCTTGCAAAAAAAAAGAAAAAAAAAGAAGGAAAAAAAGAAAGCTTTGTGCAGCTTGTATCTGTTCACTTCTTTCCAGATCTCAGAGGATAATATCGTTTCTGGGAGTTGTGTGCTGGTGGTGCATTTTAGGTATTTTATGCAGATTGGAGCCCTATGCTCCTAATAGATAATTGCAGGTAGAAATTGCTCTGTGACAGTTGGGACCACGCTCATTTATCTGTCACCTGGTCTGGGTGGCCAATGCTGACGTGCCCTTAGTACACATGGAGGCTTGTGTCAGCTGATTTGTGGGGCACTCGACTGCGTGACTTTTTGAACAACAGCACTGCCACTTAGTGCTGTGCAGCACTCCTATGACAGGTGCCAGTGGGACAGGGCTCCACATAAGACTGCCTTGGCAACAGCATTACAAGCTAGTGGTACAGTCTCAGAGGGTCTGTCCAGACCTAGGCAAGTGCTGGCATTTGGTAGGATTGCCACAAACTCGTCAGAACATGGACATTAGTAGAGCTGGCAAGAGAGCAAACGGTCATTTTGTATAGATCCCATAACTGGCATGGCCAGTTGCCATCTGGATTTTGACCAGACAGACTCAGAAGTGACCCTGCTCCTGAAGATGCCCACAGTCCTGTGTAGGGGTGGTGAACTCTAAGGTTGTCCTAACTCTTGGGCAGGAAACAGTCTCTCTCTTTACACCCCTACACCCAGCTTTTCAAAGTGCTTGGTGCACACCCTGGGATAGATTCCTCACACCAGATATTCAAAAGAATTCAAATCCCATTGTTACACTAGACAGAATAGCCATAGTCTCTGTGGTGGTGGTCACTGCTCAGAATAGGAGCTGCTTGGTGCTTGCGTCTTTTTAGAAGCATGGTGCTAGCTGCAGGTGCTGGTCACTGGAGTATCCTGTGTTTTAATGCGTCTTGTTTTAGATGATCAGTGCTTAGGGTTGGCCGGAATATATTACGAAGTGGGATGGGAGGATGCACAGCCTCTGCTGCAGGTAGGGAGTGCTTGTGTTTTGTTCAGAAACTGTCCAAATTAGTGGGGGGGGGTTTATACAGGTCTTCAGAGAGAGGCGCAGACATTTCTCCTTCCCTCCTACGCTTCTGCCAAACATACTCAGCCCTTACTTTGCCCATCATGTGTTCATGCAACCAGAAGAAAATCATTTAAAAAGTTTAGGCAAACTATTCACCCCCCTGGACAACTTATTAGAGGATTATGGTTTGTCAGTGGTTCAAGGGAAAGGTGTCCACACAAGCTAGGCATATTCAGTAGAGGCCAACATGTAGGTTGATCATGTTTGGAGAAGCAATCTCAAGGTATTGCTATGTAAAGTTGAGCAGGGTTCATGCATTATTCCATTGTAGTGGCTGCTTTTCTAGTTTCTTGTTGGCAATACCCTGGTGCAGATAGGTTGCTTTGCAGATCAAATCCCTCTGTGCTCTTTCCCTGTGAGGGAAGAGGTGCTTTGGGAAAGACCTGCAAATTTGTGCTGGCCTGTTACTGGTGTGCATGTGCTTCCCAGTCCTTAACAGGAACCACTGACTAGAAATTGTAGCTAAACTTCTTGTAAGGTCATGGACAACAACTGGGGGGGTTCCTAGTCTGTGACTAGCTAAATTGCTGCCTCTGCAAGGGAGGATGGAGCATCTTGTCTTCCACTCTCCTTGGGACAGCGGTGCCCTTGGTCATGTCTGCTGACAGCTGAAATCACCAATCATACCGCTCTCTTCCAAAATCACACCCCCCTGCTATTTCCTGCACCAAATTTCACAGCTTGTGTACATTTGAACTAACCTGGTACTTTTCTGTCTCTGGATCCCAGTGTACATTTGTTACAATGTACAGTGCTTTTTGACTATACTTGTATATTAAATTATTGAATAGTTGTTTGCTTTTCAGAACTTTTTTTATGTAGCACAGATTTGAAATGAGGATCTTGTCAGTGAAGTTCTTCCTAATTTAATGTGCATACAGTGTCTTCAGTCATCTGTATGTGAAGTTGAACAGAAAACTTCAAGTTTACAAATAATATTTTCCTAAATGCTCAGTGTGTCCAGCTTAATTTGAATAACACTTCATATTTCCAATTTCATGCTGTCCTTTAATTCTCTATATGATGCACAAAATCTTTTTGAGTTTCTTAAAAAATATTCTTCTGAAAATGATTTGGAAAACTGTACAGTTTGTCTTTAGCATTTTTTAAACGAATAGTAAAACTTAAGCAGAAGCATTTACTCATGTAGATAGTGTAAAAACTTAAATATATATAGAGAATGCGATCTGAAGAACAGTGTGTGCCTGTTATACTTCATTTCCTGCAGTATGAACTTCAGAGAGGTTTGTATACATGGGAGAGACCATTTAAATTGGCTTACGATTTTTTTTTTGCAGGGGGGAGGTGTATGGAGGAGAGATGTGAACTCTAGCCCCCAGTGTGCATGCACACAACATGATACCATGAGCAAAAAAAGTCTATGTTGGAAAAGTCAAATTAGAGCCTTGAATTATGTACCTATGGACACACAGCATTTGGCACAATGCTAGATTGTTTCACTGTTTGGATTTCAATCAGTTTTTCAGGTTACCCAAATGGGATAGTTGATCTTTTTATGATATAAATTCTAATTAATGTTGCATTTTACTTAAATGTACAAGTTGCTGACAAAACTCCCTAACATGTTTGAGTATGTATTAGCATTAGTAACGTGTTGCGGTGCGTGCCACAGTTGTGCAGCTCTTGAGTGGAGAGGGAAAGCAAATCCATGTTTTGGTCTGTACAGAAATCTTTAATGAAATCAGCATGTGAAATAACTCTTGTCTGTGCTCTTCTACTGTCTGTTTTAACAAGTGTGTGTTTGCTGCAATGAAACTTTAATGATATGTCAGGTCTGTACAATGTGTTATTACATGTTTGTAGTTCTTCAGTAGCAGGACATGGACCCTCTGCCAGTGCTTTTATCCCAAACTGTAAATACTGCAACTCATGTAATGAGACTTAACCTTAGGCTTTAGCTTGTTGTGTTTGGTTCTTCTCATTTTCTATGTTAGAAGAATTTTTAAATAAAGTTCAATTTTGCCTTTTAATAACTTGTAAAATAATTCCTTAGTGGAGCAGGTGATTGCGACTACCCTGGGGCCTGTCCCAGTGTCTCAGCACATCCCTTAGATCTACTGTGGAAAGTTGGCCCAGGTGCGGCTGGCTTTGGGACAGGACTGCAGTGTTGAGGGCTACCCACAGGTGATGTAGCAGCACTGTTGAGGGGAACACGGGCAAGTGTTGTATTGCCCCTCATCCTGCTGCTGTGCTGGGAGCTCTGGTCATGGAGCAAGAACTGAGGTGTCCGTACTGCAGATACTCAAGCTAGTTAACACCAGTGCTCATGCTACAGTGCTGGGACAGTTGCTGGAAAGCAGGCACCACACTTTCTATTGTGGGTGCACCTCTAGAGATCCTGTAGATGTCTGTGGTAACACAAGCCCTTTCAACGCGGAATGGTTCCCTGAACTGGGCAGAAGTGTTTTGAGGCATTGCAGTTGATGGAGGTGCGGTATCTCTTTCATCTTCCCCCACCCCAAAGACTAGAGGGAGTCTGATTTAATGCACACCTTTTATAGTCCAAGTTCTTTGTTGTGTAATTTGAATGCTTCTGGCAGTTGTCTGCCCAATGTGACCTTTGGTCACGCTAGGGATTTCTGTGCTTTCAAATTATAGTTACTATGTTTAAAATAGTTGATTTTAATTTGAAAAATGCATCTCTCTTTCCAGAAACCACTATCAGTGTAAGCTGCTGTCCTCAGTCCCTGCAAAGTTCTTCATTGCCATGCAACCTTCTTAGCTCCTTAAGTTGTCTTTTTGGGTGAGTGGGTTTTTTTTTTCCCAGTGAAACCCCTAAACCAGAAGGCAGCTTCATCTCGGATAGATGGCATCATGAGCCAGTGGTGGTAAATTTGAACCTGAATTCTAGTTTCTTAATTATCCTTGCTTCTCTTTGTGAAACCAAGATTTTTTTTTTAACAAAAGTCCTGACTGACCCTCACTCTTGCTCTTCTGCATCCACCCACCGGCCAATCTGGCTGCAGGAATGCCTCTGAAGCATCCCTTTGAGGGCACTCTGGATGAGTGCTCTTCCACGAAGCAGACCTAGAAAAGCACCTCCATCTCTTGAAGATCATGTTATTGGGCCATGGCAAGCACAGAAGTGAAGGCCTTGGTTTTTCACTTGCTTAATAAACTTCCCTGCAGTCACTTCCAGGGAAGATCCTATTTGCACTCCTGCGTGGAGGCCTATGACATAAGCTGACATAACTTCATTTAAAGGCCAGTCAGGCACTTTCCACCTGCTGTAGGATGGCTTTTCTGTTAGTAAGAGGGATCGTACACACACTTAACTTTTTACACTTAACCTCTTGACATCCCAGATGTCTAGCTATATATATTTGGTAGTCAGCTAATCTCAGAGACCCTTTAGTCCATTATCTATATCTAATGGACTAAAGGGTCTCTGAGATTAGCTGACTACCAAAGCTACTGGAATGTGCACCTTGACACCTGGAACCTCTTTAGTATTTGTTATACGGGGTAAAGTCTTGACAAAACAAAAGAGACCTTTTGCTGGGAAATATTTTTTTCAAACAAATGGTGATAGGTGATCTGGGCTAAAGGACCTTGAATATCTTCCTCCTAGCTCAAATGAAAATTAATGAGAATCACAATGTAGGTGAAAACATAACTTATCATTTTTGGTAATTAGCTATAAGGTCCTGTATGATGTGAGGTGAAGCCAGAGGCACTTTAATGTTTTCCTAAAGTACTAACTATGTTAGCATAGTTGCAAGTGAAATACTATTATTAAATGCTTAATTGTTGTCTCCTGAAAGGGGGAAAAGCTGCGTTAGTGCTACCCTAGGAAAACATGTCCATACTTAAGGCCTATTTTGCAAGAAAAAAGGATCCTGGGTGGTAAAGATAAAGGTAGGCTCTTGAACTCTATAAGGAATGGCTAAGGGAAGCTGAGTGAATGGGTGTGTGTTTTGAGCAGAGGCAGAACTTGTTCAATGTCCTGTTCAGCTGTGGAGCAGTAGATGCAGTTTGATTCAGTAGCTAGATCACCAATGGGACTGGGGAGGCCTGGATACTGTCACTGGAGCTGCAGCTGGCTGCTTGTGCAAGTCTGGGTGTGTTGCTTTGCATTTTTCATGCTGTCACGTGGGAAGACTGCTCATCCACTTTAAGCTCTGAGATCTATGGATGAAAGTTTTTTAGATAAGAGCTACGTATCAGTACTTAATCCTGTTCTTTTGAAACAACACTCAAATAATATGCTATAAAGACAGGTATAATGCCATGAAAGGCCCTGGTAATTGTGTCCGCAAAGTAGTTTCAGTGCATAAAAATAAGAGCTGCTGTCATTTTTCTTGTTGGTTATCTTTGCCTCAACCTACACACATGCTTACCAAGATCAGCCAGTATTTAAAATGGTATGCAGTTGGTCTTCAAACTCATCATCCATGGGTCTTTTGGGGAGCACTGAGAGCTGGAACATTTACCACTTCTCTCTGAGCAGTTGGTGTAGATGCTACAGGTGCACAGGAGATCTTGTAAGGGATGGTAGCAGAGGATCTGCCAGACTGCAGGAGACCAGTTGTCTCTCTAGTCCAGCATCTGGTCTGTAATGGGGACTAGTACCAGGTAGCGAGACATTAACCTGCCTACAGGGAAAGCTTCTATCTGATGTACAACAACTAGAGGTTGGCTCATGGCCCGGAGCAGAAAGGTTCCCTTTCAAAACTCCTGCCGGAAAAGGAGTGTTGGGGCCCAAATGAAGAGGCATGGCTGATGGTACAAAAATATCTGTGATCCCCTGGCTTGGTAAGAAGAGGACATGAGAAGGGTGAATTGCTAGCTAATATCAGCTTCTGCTGTCTCAGTTCTGTCCAGGGTTGATGTCCCCCCTCAACCAGTAGGTGTTGCTGTGGACTTGACATCCTGAGGAACATCTTTGAGCTTGCAAGAATACTAGCCACGCCGGCATGATTACCAGCTTTAATGGCTTCCTGAACACTGAAGTAACTGGAAAGCGGGCTTCAGCACTTATAAACAGACCTGTTAATGGCTTGCTACAGCTCTAAAACATTAAGAGGAATCCTATAATCTATTGGGGACAATGCTAAGAACAACTACAGTGCTGAATGACATCCCACTTGATGGAAAACAGGGTTTCTGTGTTGCATATTGCGAAGGATAGCCTCCCCTGAGGCAGGGGACTGATGCCAGCATCTTCCAGATGTGTCCAGAGAGCCACATACAGATTTAAGAAAATCTTACAAGTTACAGTGACAATAACTTTAATTTCCCAGTACAGCTGGGAGATTAACTAGGAATTTGGGTGTCCCAGCATCCACCTCCTGCCCTAGCTACTTAGACTCGCTCTCTGTTGTAGTCCAGATGCTGCTCGCTCAAGTGTCTGTCTTTAAAGAAACGTTATGGTTATTCAGTCAGTTTACCTGAATGTTCACGCAGAGCTGGCAATGGCATGCTGTTAGGAAGAAAGTTTTTCCTGATGTGGACAAAGGAGGATGTACTCTGAACAGGTTTGCTCTTTGCCTGTCGCTTTCTCATGCACTGAGCTTACAGTGTAAGTAGGGGGGGGGGGATGCAGTCAGTCACAGGGAGTACAACAATATGCAGCAGTCTCCCAGACAGTGGTTCTAGCATGCTAACAGCCACTAGTAATGACTGTTGAGTTTTCGGTAGGCAAAGATGTCAAAAGCATAATATGGTGGCTCTGTGGGTGTTTGCTGCATGGGAGAAGCATAAAGGTGCATCTGAAGGAGGCTGATCTTCCAGGCTGCTTAAAGGTGGGAACTGACCTCTCAAAGAATGAGGGCATGGAGAAGTTGCATAAAAAGGCTTTGCAAACAAGGGCAACTCATCATTTTCAGGAGGGGAAGAATGGACCATGAGCGGTGATATCAAAGTAAGGGGCTGAGAGGTGCAGAATGCTGCTGCGTTGAAAACCGTTCTGGATGGATACAAATAAGGCAAGGTGGCATTTGTCAAGGACTGAGAAAATGACATTGCAGTAATCGATTGCCAGAGCCTGCGTGAAAGGTTCTGCAGTGAGGATGGACAGCAGATGTGGCCATATCTGGGTGACGTGAAACGGAAAGAACCTTTAAGACTTAGGTTTAGCCAAGATGCGACGGGTGCAGAGTGAGGTCCAAGTAGTAGATGACGCCAAGTGATGGTCTGAGAAGATAAGACAGTCTTCAATGACTCAGAAAGGAAGCAGCACAGAGGGCTCGGAGAAGAGGCTGAGGTCTGCAGATGTGCCGTTGGACAGGAGATAGGCGTGCAGCAGAGGTCAATCTGCGAGTCATTGCCATAGATGTGATGGATGAATTAACGTTTTTGGTAGAAACAGAAATTAGGGAGGGAGGTAACCAAAAGAAAGGCCCACGAGACTTAAAGGAGAACTTCATCAACAGTATCAAAAGCAGCTCTCCGAGAGGATGAGCATGGAGTACCAGTTTTACGGTTGCACTAGGAAGCGCTCCTAAGATGCATGGAGAAGGGTTTCTGCCACTCGTCCTCCTTTGCAACCAGACTAGACCAACTAGAGCAGCACAACGCCAAGCAGGGTTTTTAAATTAAAACTCAGGTTTTCAGGTGCCAGAGGCACGAGACTCTGGAACAGTTTTCAGATGAAACGATGCACGTTAACAAAAGGGGTGATGGGACATGGTAGCACGCAATGATCAGTGCCCAGACTCCGACATGCTCCCATGGCTACGAAAACTGTGGCTACGGGCCTGGACGTGCCCCTATCATGCAGAACGCGTTTTTCCTCATGTAGAGGCCAAGCGCAGTCCTGTTGGAGGTAGGCGTTGATCCCGTCCTCTCGATGTTCAGGGCCGTGACGAACGTGGCATGCGGTTTGCTCGCTCTCGTTCTCTCTCTGGGGCGACAGTCCAGCGGGTTTTTTGTGAGGATTCGGGGGGGGGAGGTTTGTAACTACGCGCCCCTCTCCGTTTGCAGCCAAGGCAGGGGGTCGGAGACACCCGCCTCGCATGCAGCGCAGGGT